CACATCCACAGAACAACTTACTGAATTGAAAAATAAGGTGAATATCTCTGCATGAGTTTTAGCTTTATATAATAATTGATTCTGGGCCGTTGAACTATTAAAAAAATAATGCACACTGCAGGTGTAACTACGTTTCACACAGTATCCGCATTACCACCTCAGGTGTGCATTATTTTTTTAATAATTCAACACCCCATCATCAATTATTCCTTACATATAGCCTACTTTGTAAAGTGGATTACTAAACTGTTTGTGGTAGTTCAATAAAGCCATATGAAACAGAAATCTGGCATTGAATATAATTACAATTATGTAATTATTTAATGAATTATTTTTTTAATGTAGATGTTTGAATAAAATGTTTTGTATTGACCACAGATAAATGCATAAAAGTAAATAAAAATAAATAATGTTTGGATGAACTATATCTTTAGCCTGTATTTATACAAGACACACCTCATTGTCTTAAAACTCTGCAGAGATGGGTTTTAAATCATCTTTCAGACCGCAGAAAATATGGAATGAACAAAAGAAGTCAATACATCGGACGTCCACTGCTTTATTTTCCACACACAGATCACCTGCTAGTGGATTGTGTTTTGGTGTAAAAGAGGATGTCCTTGTTTTGGGATCTGGTTTGTAGAGGCTTTCCCCAGGCCCTCATCAGCACCAGCAGGACATGAATTGGTTACCTGCTGTTTCTTGTCAGCGGCTGAGCAGTGTTAAAGAGGTCTAAAGTGATGAACGATTCCACACTGGCTAGTAAAAGCAATCTTTCTCATCCAGCGCTTATTAAACTGGGTGGCCGGCGTGTCTGTCTCCTAGGTAAAAACTGACTCTCCAGAACAATGCCGTTCATTGAGACTCTCATGTGCCATCACTTGAAATGTGGGACTTCTGGCTCTCCTGGAAATATTGATACAAGCAATAATTTGGACATTTGAATAGTTCAGCAGTGTCTCTTCTAATTAATTTGATTATGTAATTATATCTTTACAATTAGATTTTAGATCAATTGAAAACATTAATTATTTCCATGTCACATTTTATTTGGGAGTATATGTCCAGATACCTTGGATAATTTTTTTTTTTCCAATTAGGATTTTCAAGGGATTCAAAAATTGTAATCAAATGAATTACAAGACACACCAGTTAATTGGTCAAATGTCCAACTTATTGCTTTTTAATAGACATGACTTAGATAATAATTAAAAAAGAATTATGATGGGAACATGAAAATGCATAGTAGTAGTCATTATTAAAAAAAATAGTTTATTAATGCTATGAAAGTAGCCTATAGTATACTGTACTCGTCCTGCCAGGTTTTTAACCAGTCACCACCAGGGCTCCCAGCTTATTTTGTTGTATAATAACTAGGGCTGTCAGTTAAACATGTTATTAACGGCGTTAACGCAAACCCATTTAATGGTGTCAATTTTTTTTATTGCGCGATTAACGGTATTTTTGTCCAAGCAAACTTTGAATTTTTTTTTTCACATGCTTATGCAACAGGACGCGGCGCTGCGCTCTGAAACCCATTTATTTCAATGGCTTTCACCACGTGAGGACGTTTTGTTGCTTTGTCGACCAAAGCACAAGCAGATCTAGCTAGATCGTAAACAAAACAACAGGCACGCCACACACACTCGTTTGGGCTTGCGAGCTGCCAAATAGTTGGTTAACGTTACATTTTGAGTGGATGGCGAGCGCGAGACGCCGAAATGGATGGCAATTAGATTCTGAATGGATATTTTACTTTTAAAAGTTGTCAAATTTCATCAACAAGAAGTGATCTGTGTGTTTTGTCGTTGTGAACTGAGCTATCATCATCACAGCACGTCCAGTCTACTGTAAAAAATAATCCTGTAAAAAAAACGGTAAACTACTGGCAGCTGTGGTTGCCAGCATCATACCATAAAAATACGGTGTGTTACTGTTTTTGAAATTAACAGCTAAATACCGTGTATTCATCTACAGTACAAAACTTTAATTTAACAGCTCTATGCTCTAACAAAAAACAGTAACACACCGTATAGTTACGGTATGATGCTGGCAACCACGGCTGCCAGTAGTTTACCGGTTTTTTTTTACTGGATTATTTTTTACAACACACACAGCTGATGTGACTTCTTTTCCATGTTGATAAGAGCATTAAATTGAGAAAAAATAATGGGACAAAAAGAAATCATTTAGAGCAGATTAAAATGTGCGATTAATCACGAGTTAACTATGACATTAATGCGATTAATCGCAATTAAATATTTTATTAGTTTGACAGCACCAATAATAACATGTAATATATCAAATGAAAGAACATTTCAAAACTTGTTTATATAAGCTGCATGCATTCTTTTTATCAACACTTTAATGTGGGTGAGTTTCATTTAAAAAAGCAAGATCCAGAGACTCTGTACTCTGGATTACTGGAAATTTCCGTCAATACGTTTTGTCATAAATGACGGAAAATTCCATCAATGGTGAGGAAGAACTAAATAAGACCGTAAAGTTACAAATAGCCTACTTGTGACAACCACTTTTTGTACCTTTTTGTTTCAGCAACAATTCAGTTAAACTTCAAAAAGTTCATCTGGTGTGCTTTCGCTGAACCTATTTTGGCCAAAAACCTTTAAGGAAAGAATCCATCTCGGGATGCTCGAGGAATTGCTCTCGCTTTCTCTGTCCCCATCCCTCTCCTAAGACACTTTTGGCTCGCCTCTATGCTATCTAACAATACTTGAGGAACTAAATTACCTTGTTACAGTAGTGAGCAATGGGGGTGCCGGTGGATCGCTGCCAGCTAACTAACTAGCTAATAAATAGGAAAGGGACCTGCCAACTTTCTGATGGGGACCTTAAAACAGGTTTTCTTGATTAATTATGCTAATACATTACTCTGTAGTTAACTGTCATGCTGATGATCAGACGTCTCCATATTCACGTTGATAGCAGTTTAATTAAATTAACACTTGAGGAGGCTCTACAGTCCAAAGAGCACGTGGGTCACAATTTTAGATGTATTTTTTACCCCAACGGTGATTAATTGTTTGAGTTGGATACGGATACCTGCAGGAAGTGTCAATATGTAATTGTATCCAGGCGTATGTAATCTGTATTACCATGCTAATCTTGAAGGATGGCAGTTATTATTATTTTGCACGGTTTTGCATAATTTCCAAATAGATGATCCTATGGTGGCAGTAATATGACATCTGCTGCTATAGATCACACTCTGCTATCATGGACGTATGCGGCCTATTGATAATTTAAGACAAGGAATAATCCATTCCTGCCTTATAAAAGTCTGTGTATGTCACATGATTGTATTATGAATAAATTAAATCCATATCTTACAGGGAGTTTGAGTTTGTATCCATTTTAGATTAAAGCCGCATGAAATATTAAGTCTTGTGAGCATTAAGGAACCATGCTTTTCCACACTATAATATCTTGAGTCTCTATTTAAGGTCAATGTGATGCATTATCCTGTGGGGAGGGCAGTGTTGACTGCACAGTGTCCTTTTTATTTTGTGTGGCCATTTACTCAGAATTATTTTCATCTGATTGTATATTAAGCAATATATGGATAAAACCGAAAGCATGTAAATGATGTTGACGATAGCTATATGGTTTATGATTGTTTTCATCAGATTTCATAATTATTATTGTGTACTATACAGTTACATTTACTCAAATAAGTAATATTGATTATAGAGTTATGGTTACGGTTAGGTTATGGTTGAGGGTTAGTTGCTTGTAGTTGCTTTCAGTAAGCTTAGTTAAAGATAGTATAACAGATTCTTCCATGATAAATGTAAAAACTACAGTTTAAATAACCTATGATACATTTGGACCAAATGTCCACACAAGGATGGTAAAAATCACTTACATTTAAGGACTGGCCAACTAGAGATAGACATACATAGACTTTGCAATAAGCCTACTGTATATTCTACCGATGCAGTGCTACAGTGTGCATGTGCTAAACAATCTCAAAATAAAATATCTTACAATTTACAATCAGACATACCGTTAAACACTAGTCCCATCTTCACATTGACCAGTCACCATTCATACATAATTTACACTCAAATTCAAAACTCTTTTTGATTTTGATAAAACTGAAGTTTTTCACCTCAGCAGCCATTTTGGTCTTCCAAACGTAGACTATAAATGCTATCAAATTCGCCACACTCATGTTTTCAAATAGCCTACTAAGTATTCTGCAATATTCGTATATATAGCACAAATTTTATTTTTCGTGCCATTTATACGCGAAAAATAGTTTTTCCGTGCAAATGATACGCACTGTAAACTCTTTGGGTAGAATTAGGAGTGTGGAGTGCATGCGTATTACACGTCATAAAGTGCGTATCATATGCGCACAAAAACTATTTTTGGCGTATAAATTGTACGAGAAATGTAATTTGTGCAATAGATAGCCAACACACTTTCATTGGAACATTCAGCAAAATGACAGGTTGATAAAACAGCCGTATTGAGAAACAAATATACAAACAGTGCAAGTAAAAGGAAGCGTTACCCGCTTCCTTTTACAGTACTGTACTTACAGTGTACTTACCTAGAAAGTACTGGCTAAGGTAAATAGCCTACATGGAACAGGGGTACAGTAGGTTTAGGGGTAGGTTCAGGGTTAGTAGGCTAGTTATTACCCAGTAATTGTAGTTACTAAAATAAGTATATAGTAGGCTATTTACATGGGTAACTGCACTGTAAAAGGAAGCGTTACCCAATATTCTCTATGGCAAATCTCCAGAACGTTGTGGAGGGGGACCTTTATACGAGTGCCTTCAAGAAGGAGCAAGATAATCAGAAACCATGAGATATTCTTTCCATTTTGTATAGAGAGAGAGAGAGAGAGAGAGAGAGAGAGAGAGAGAGAGAGAGAGAGAGAGAGAGAGAGAGAGAGAGAGAGAGCATAGTGGGGCGGTAAAATCATGAATTGATGTTGACAGAATTCATTTCCTCTGTCAGCCACAGTCGCTGCATTCAACAGGAAAAATAACTCGAGTCTCTGGAGCTGAAACATATTCCGTATAAACCCACATCGATGAAATAATGTCGTGCGAAATGCCATTTTGTCAGAACAGCAGACTGATTGAGGAGTTTATTCAAATATGGTTAAACGTCTAAGAAGCCTTCTTTTTTACCGTTAAACTACCGTGAGCTTTTGAAAGGAGGTTGGAAACTTATGTTCCACTGCAACATTGATTCCTCGCGATTAATCGTTGTCTAATGACTATGGCTTTATTATTCGCGTCACACAGAAGCGTGTTTTCTTTGAGGGCTGACCAGGATGAGTAACACGACATCGATCGTGCGTTGAGTCATTTGACAAATCCATATTTGATTCTGGGTGGAGAGAGAGAGGGAGAGAGAAGGAGAGGGAGAGCGAAAGAGAGAGGAGGAGACTCGCAGGCTGTCTTCTCGTCTCTTGTGAGGATTTTTTTGCAAGACCAAAAGACGTATTATCGCCTAAGCTTTCTTTCTTTCTCTCAAATGTAATAAGGAGAACCTGCTCCGAGCGAAAAGCCTCAGCGAAGTCCTCGACGGGAGGATTACAGATATCTCACCTGACATCGATTTTCAGCAACGTTTTTCCCTGACCGTTATACGCAACGCGTTATTCAGAAAGAAAACTTTTTGCCGCCTTTATTTCTTTTAAAAAAATACATCGGTTACAACTCAGCCGAGATGGTTTTACAGTGGCGTTATGACATCAGCGTGGATTGGACGCTTTTTAGTCGAATATCGCTGCACTTTAATCCGTTTTTCGTGGAAGTGTGTCTGATTTAAGGACTAATCATTATTGAAAGGTACTGTATGCAGTTCAGTTGGGTTTCCTGTCTTTTTCTTTGTTAAAAGAAATAATGCAGAATATCTAAGCAACAAGCGTCGCCATACGATGCGCACTTTCCCAAGGAATAACGCATCCTTCTTGCGCGGTGTTTTTGGAGAAAACCTCAACGTGTTCCCGCATCAATCTTACTTTGATAAGGTCTATGGCCGTTATTAAGATCAAATCTGTTTTTGTTTACCTGTAAATACTGTGAAAAGTGCCTTTTTTCCTGTTTCCTAACGACAAGGAGAACATGGCTTGCTTTCCATGGCGGGTATTTTGGATAATTCAAGCGCTCGTGGATGTGACACTTTCGCAGGAAATCTACGCTCCTCATTCAATCAGAATTGAGGGAGATTTGACCCTGGGTGGGCTTTTCCCGGTCCATGCCCGCGGGGTCTCCGGGGAACCGTGTGGAGATATCAAGAAGGAGAACGGGATACACCGGTTGGAGGCGATGCTTTACGCCTTGGACCAAATCAACAGTGACGACGAGCTTTTGCCCAACATCACTTTAGGGGCTCGGGTTTTAGACACATGTTCGCGAGACACGTACGCTTTGGAGCAGTCGCTTACTTTTGTGCAAGCTCTCATACAGAAAGACACGTCGGATGTGAGGTGTACGAACGGCGAGCCCCCGGTGTTTGTCAAACCCGAAAAGGTGATTGGAGTCATAGGGGCTTCGGCGAGTTCAGTGTCCATCATGGTCGCTAATATACTGCGACTGTTCCAGGTGAGTCTGAGCTGAAGTGCCCAATAGTAGCCTATACATACCACATGTGCTGGTATGAGTCTTTGCGTCATGCTTTCACATATGGCATCTGATTTACAACAACGCATAATGCGTTAAAACACCTCATTGCACAATATAATGACTAGTTGTTAGTGTGTATAGCACTATGCGTTTGTAAATCATTTGTGTAACCAGGGGAGGTTGTTAGTCATAATCAATGAATCGATCAGGCATCGACTCTTCGCACAGGCAGAGAGGCTTTTTAACAGGTTTTCTTTGTCTATTCATTTTCAATTTTAAGGTCTTTACTGGCAAGTTTGCTTGATGCGATCAATATTCCCTATTCTATTCTATTCTATTCTATTCAGTGCCAATATTATAGTTCGAATTTATAATCGTATTTAATATAATCAGTATTAATTATGCAATGCAAATGATAAATGTATATCTTAATTACTCTTCAATTTCAAGTTCATTATTTGTTAAAAATGCTGGGTTTTTTTAACCCATTTTTTTAAAACTCAAAATCGGGTTAAAACAACCCAGCATTTTTTAGAGTGTAAAATATTTTGATGCCATAAAATAGAAATATCAGTATACAATAAAATACAATTCAGTAGAGTACTACATTACCATTTTGCTCTGTATTTATCTGTTCTTCCCTCCAATATTTTGTATTATTATTATTATTATTATTATTATTAAATTGAGCTTTCTGGAGGCAGATAACTCTATAGATTCCATAGTAAACTGGATGCTGTGTTAGGTTACCCACCATTCCTCCATTTCAAGAAATGTTCTATTTCCTTCTCTGTTCCCACGACATTAGGAAATTAAAGTCGGATTATCTTAAAACATGCGTTTTGGCAGACACACATCGGGAGCATGTAAAAGATCCGAAAGCAAATTGGAATGTACACTATACCACAAATGAGAATAGGATACAATTCCCAGCCTAATTTATCAAAATCAATTCTCGTAGGGATTTAAATGAACTACTTGCAGTATCCAAAACGTAAACGTGTCCAAATATGGCATGTGAAGTGATAATTGCGTCCCGCCCCTTGGTTCTGAAGTGTGTGATTACTGATACAGCAATTAAAACAGAAACAGTCTATACAGTAGCCTGTAATCATGTGAGAGGATTATTCAGCCTTATCTATGTTCTGCATCAGAGATAAACACAGCTAATGACATCCCACTAGTCTACTAGGATAATGCAAACCTCATTCTTCTCCATCATCATTTTTGCTGTTTACCAAGGTTCTCGTTTGGTCTTATACACAGGTAGTTATATTGCTTAGCATCAAATCCATCAAATAGCATCAAAACTTGAACGTTCCAACGTTGCAGCTTGCTGTCAATCATTTTCTCTTGTAAACACAACTTGTAAACACAAGACTGAGAATGGAAGTAAATGGGGCAAAACAATAATTGGTTTTAAAAGGTTTAGTCCACAAGACTTTATACATGTTAACATGACATTAGTGTGTATCTGAGTATTCAACATATTCTTATTCCCAACTTGTCACAAATTGACGCTTGTTCAGGACATCTCGGCATCACTTAATGCACAGGGTACTGTAATTTTTCGACGTGCATGCTGCACCATTTCTTTAAATGACACAGCTTTGGGATCATGTACTTGTGATTGGCATGGAAATTTTATGGCCATAAATTGGGTTATAATGTTACCAGTATGTTTTTTAATTTACATTTATTTTATTTACACTATTGTGAGAATGTAACCCAACACCACCCCTAAACCTACTAAATTTCTACTTTTACAAATGCAAATAATTGACTGCGTCTTAATCTAACGCATAAGGCGAACAACTGAATGCAATGGCGTACCGTTGCACGCCGAAAAAACGAATGGCTTAAAGGGATACTCCACTTTTTTTGGCTCATTTTACCACTCCCCCAGAGTTAAACAGTTGGGTTTTACCGTTTTCGAATGTATTCAGCCGATTTTTGATATTTAAAAAGGATATCAGTAACCAGAAAGTTTCTGGTTTCATTGATCTTTTCAAATGCGACCCAGGCCACTTGGGTATGTGGTCCAAATCCGATATGTATCCGATCTTTTGAAATGCGACTTTAATTTGAACAGTCACGTCACATGTATCCAACGCACACGTCATTGATATGCGACAAACGTCATTATTCTGCATTGAAGTAGGCGGGAGTGAGAAGATTGTAATTGTTCTGGCTCTGTTGGGAAAATAACTTAAATATTGCTAAACTAGCTATACTGTTGATATCCATGTTTAGCTACTTCCACAAACAACAAGTGACGTCGTTGACCGTTGAGTACTCAACTGGGTCATTTCACGTTCACACAGGGCAGGAGATCACAAAAGATCGCATTTAATTGGAATTGTGAACGGCCTTGCAAAAAAATGTTAAAGGAGAACTCCGGCGAACAATGAACCTTTGGTCTAATAAAACATCGGTACCTAGTCAATCGTTCTCTGAGTTTTGTTTTCATGATAATCGAATGTAAAGAGTTTTATCTCTAAAAACTGTTTAGCGTATATGCTAGTAATTGGGGCATTGACTAAGTAAAAAGAAATCGCTAGTTTATACCACTAACAAGGCTCAAAATAGCCCCACACTAACGCAGTAACATAATGAGGGTCCCTACATGCAAAACGAAGCATTGAGAACTTTGTAAGTGTACAGACCGTTTAATAAGAAGATACTTTATGAAGACAGTTCACTTCGGGTATACAGACAGGAGCCATCTTAAAAAATAGTCTCGATAAGTCGATCCTCGAACGCCGTTCAAACAGTTCAGAAGTTCGTTGAACTTCATACAGTTCTGATCACTCAGCACGACGTTCGTGGTTTGACTTATCGAGACTATTTTTTAAGATGGCTCCTGTCTGTATACATGAAGTGAACTGTCTTCATAAAGTATCTTCTTATTAAACGGTCTGTACACTTACAAAGTTCTCAATGCTTCGTTTTGGATGTATGGAGCCTCATTATGTTACTGCGTTAGTGTGGGGCTATTTTGAGCCTTGTTAGTGGTATAAACTAGCGATTTCTTTTTACTTAGTCAATGCCCCCATTACTAGCATTATACGCTACACAGTTTTTAGAGATAAAACTCTTTACATTCGATTATCATGAAAACAAATCTCAGAGAACGGTTGACTATGTACCGATGTTGTATTAGACCAAAGGTTCATTGTTCACCGGAGTTCTCCTTTAAGAGGTGGCAATTCCGTATTGTCAAACGTACAAAAACGTTTGATTATTAGGAAAAAAGCAAGCATGAAGGTCCACCCCTAAACATTTGTAAGGGTAAGCACATTGGGGATAAGCACAAAAATTTACAGATGAGATTTTGCAAATTCCTACGAATTTGCCACCAATTCGAATAGTTAAAGGAGTAGTTCACTTTTAAAAAAAACTTTTGCTGATAATTTACTCGCCCCCATGTCATCCAAGATGTCCATGTCTTTCTTTCTTCAGTCGAAAAGAAATTAAGGTTTTTGGTGAAAACATTCCAGGATTTTCTCCATATAATGGACTTCAATGGGAACCAAACGGTTCAAATGAGAGTTTCAGTGCAGCTTCAAAGGGCTTTAAACGACACCAGATGATGAATAAGGGTCTTATCTAGCGAAGCAATCGGTCATTTAAAAAAATACATTAAAAAGTTTAAGTTTTATTTTCTCAAATGGTCGCCTTGCTCTGTTCTGTGATGAGCGTTCATGACTCTCCTGTTCGAACTCGTTTATCAAAATGAACAAATCTTTTCCTTAAGGGTCCTAGATAAGACCCTTATTTATCGTCTGGTGTCGTTTAAAGCCCTTTGAAGCTGCACTGAAACTCTCATTTGGACCTTGAACTGTTTGGTTCCCAATGAAGTCCATTATATGGAGAAAATCCTGGAATGTTTTCATCAAAAACCGACTAAAGAAAGAAAGAAATGGACATCTTGGATGACATGGGGGTGAGTAAATTATCAGCAAAAGTTTTTTTTTTTTTTTTAAGTGAACTACTGTACTCCCTTAACAGTATTTAAAGCCCTAAACTGTTGAACTAAATAAACATTGAGGGATTATTCACATTAGGCATCTGTTGGGTAATTGTAAGTGTGTGGTTATCGTGAGTTTACATGAAGTGTTCACAAGCCTAAATATGGGCCGATGTGCTGTATGCACTACAAGAGCTTACAATATGTAGACTTAGATTTAATAGTCGCTCATGTGTTGTTTCATTAATAATTTTACAGTAAAGGGCATGAGCTGCATGCACTCGCATGTGAACCTGCAATATTTATGTCACTTTCCTCCAGCTTCCTACCACATGGCTAATGGCTAGAGTGGTTTCAGTAGACTTCACAGATCTGTTCTGTTCAGCGCTTGACTTTTTGCCCTTCATAGACTGTTTAGAAAGTATTTACGGAAATACACCCATACACATGGGACATATTGCCAGCCGGCCTGTGTCACAGACCCTCAGTTGTGAGCATTAAGAAACAAATTTAAAAGCCCACGTTGCGGCCCGCTAGCCACCTGCATCCTTTCAGAAAAAAAAGTGTTTGCTTATTTCCCTGTGGCCTCACACTTGCTTCGAGTCTCTGAATGCTTTTATATGCTCCAGGGCTGGGATTTCACAAAGCATCCCTGTTGGCCGCAAGCTTTCTCCGAGTGCGATGAGTGCTGCGGTGAGTTGATGTGAGGAGGGCAATGCACTCTGACACAATTCATGAGGCATACAAGCAATTTTACATTCTCCACTTCAACACATTTTGACTCGAAACACTTTGTGACGCAACAGGCCCCAAATTGCATTTGGTTCTGATGGAGCTCATGATATCCCTTACGAAAAAGAAGTATATTTCAAGTTCATTTTATGTAGTATACTTAAGTAATGTTCATGTATTTTTTTAACTATACATTATGTAGTAAGTATACTAATGTCACTATGTACTAGTAGTAAACTTGTAAGTGTACTATTTTAATACCGCTTGGGACTAAATT